CACCGAGAGCACAGTGAGGGAAAAAAAAGCTATGTTTAGCTTTTTTGAGCTAATTTCCCATTTTTGTGCTAATTTCTGCTTATTTAAACATAAATCAGCAAATATGTGTTGTTTCTGCTTTCTTCAGCTAATTTAGGCTTGTTCTTCCTTTTCAGCTACATTTCAGCTTGTTGTTAGCTGATTTCAGCTGTTCTTCAGTAATAAGTGTTCACACTGCATTTTTGCAGGAAAAGCAATTTGTCTGTTTTCTTTGCTTTAACACATTTACATTTATAAATGAGAATACGTCACGGGCGGGTTGAAAATGTCACTAACCACAGTGCTGCCCCGGACCACGCGCCAGGGCGGGCGCCCTGCTTCTATGTTGGAAGGAGAAACACTGAACCAATGGTGTCAAGCAAATCCAAAGATCGTAACAACTCGGGCCTGACGGTTCTTCTCGCTAGCTTTCCCTCTCTGTGGATTTAAAGTTGTCTGCAGCAACTGAACGACCCTGTTCAAGCTTCAATGGAGAATCGGTTCTGGCCCATTTGGACTCGTTAGCTGCTGCAGGAGATCGTTTCTGGAAGGTGTCAGTGAAAAGTTCAACTACGTCTCTGAATTTGTGTTTAATGAAGATGTTTGGAGAATTAAAATCTTTCAGTACGGACAACAAACGTCACGTCATCAGCCTCTGACTGTTGCCATGGCAACGTGGTTTTAGATAAAAACATGAATCAGAGTTGTGTCATGTGTAGGGGAACACCACTTCAACTTAAACAGATATCATTCATGTGTTTGTGTTTTAAACTGTTAAAATAAGATTATTATCTATTATTAGAGAGGTTATTTTAAACATCTTCTATGACACATTCAGTTGCGACACTGTGGAAAAACATGTAATGTTCACCCAACAGGTGTCGCTGTTCATCTCCTGAAGAGAGGATGTCCTTTTCAAAACAGGGTTCTTTTAAAACTGTTATCTCCATGGGAAGATCCTGGGAGTAAAGTCCTCGGCAGGTGTC